AAAAACAAGTGGCTGATAAATATGTGAAAAAGATGCTCAACATCAGTAATAGTCTAAAAAGTCAAATTTCTCAGATGCCATTTGACACTTTTTACATTGGAAAATATTAAAAATATCCAATGTTGGCAAACGAGCATGGTAGAAGCATTCTCACACTATGTTGATGGACATGTGCAGGGCAAGAGTTAACACAGAAGGTCCACTTTACTCAGTTTTTATCTCTGTAACCATGGCAATGACCCTTAGCTAAGCTCTGAGAATTGAATTCCTGGTATTTTACATAATTACTGGTTAATGATCTTTTTCTGTGTGCTCAAGACCATGGGTCAAAATGTACTAGGCTGTCAGCATTGTTTACTGTATAATTTGCTGGGATTTAAAAAAGAAAATCAATATTTTCTTGGCCACGTGGCATGTGCGATTTTAGCTCCCCGAGCAGGGATTGAACCCACGCCACTTGCATTGGGAGCGCGCAGTCTTAACCAGTGGACTGCCCAAGAAGTCCCAGCATTGTTTACTGTAAATGGAAGATTCATGATGCCCGTCTGGTGCCTGATTTGGGGTCTTCACCACGGCTGGTCATGTAGCAGATATGTGCTAATGATATCGAGCATCTTTTCATATGCTTACTGATCATTTGTGTGTCTTTGAAGAAACGGCTACTGAGATCTTTGGCCCATTTTAAACTGGATTATTTGTCTTTTTATTGTTGAGTTGTAAGAAGGATCAGTCCCTTATCAGACATATAATTTACAAAATTTTTCTTGCTTTCTGTGGGTTGCCTTTTCATTTTCTTTATAGTGTCTTTTGAAGCACAAAAGTTTTAAATTTTGATGATGTCCAATTTATTTTTTCTTTTCTTGCTTGTTCCTTTGATGTCATATCTAAGAAACCACTGCCTAATCCAATGACAACAGGCTTATTTTCAAAATCCTGCAGAGCATTTAGTTGCTATGTCTCTGTTTGGGGTGATCCCACAACCATCCACTAATTTGGTGATTTTTCTGGAAGGATTTACATGACTGAACAACAAGTTGTATGCACAGCTAAAATTTCTTACAGCAAAGTGTGTAACAAATATGTATGTAGGTGAAGGCTAGAGAGATGATGTGAGGGCTTCCATGTCAGCCTCTCTCTGCAAGTGTCACTTGGATGTGCTTTTTTCTACTGATGTGAACTTCGGAGACACATGGGAGAGGTCTTCACCCAGGGAAATCCACTTGAGTCTTAGAGCCCAGAGTTCTCCAATTCAGTCCCCAAAAGAAATTCAGTGAATCGGGTACTATCAGTGTCCCCAGTCAATGTCCCCACTTGACAGATAAGCACCAAGAGCTTAAGTCACTTACCCACAGTCACACGGCCTGACAGTGGCAGAGCTGGGATTTGAACTCAGAGAGTCTGGCTCCAGAGCCCACACTCTTTTTTTTTTTTTTTTTTTTTTTAAAATTTTTTTTTTTTTTTTTTTTTTTGGTTGAAAGAGAGAATGTTTATTTGTCTCGTATATTATTTTTTAACCCCTCACCTTCACAAAGGCGAATTTGCGGTACGCGGGCCACTCACTGTTGTGGCCTCTCCCGTTGCGGAGCACAGGCTCCGGACACGCAGGCCCAGTGGCCGTGGCTCACGGGCCCAGCCGCTCCGCAGCATGTGGGATCTTCCTGGACCGGGGCACGAACCCGTGTCCCCTGCATCGGCAGGCGGACTCCCAACGACTGCGCCACCAGGGAAGCCCCCAGAGCCCACACTCTTAACTGCCACATGAACAAGTGCAGTAATAGCAGCTCAAGCAAGGAGCTGTGAAAGCACTGAGAAGGGGCAGGTCACTCAGCCTGGAAGTCAGGGAAGGCCTCCTGGAAGAGGTGACCTGTAGCCTTGAGGATCATGAAGGTGTCTGCCAAGCAGACAAAGCAGGGAAGGGTGTTCCAGGCAGAGGGAACAGCATGTGCACAAGCCCAAAGGTGGGAACACACATTCAAGTTCAGGGAGGAACAGGCACTTCAGGGAGTGAGGTCAGGGCGTGAGGTACCAACACGGGTGGATGGTGATGAGAGATGAGGCCAGAGACAGAGTAGGCTGGATCACGCAGGGCCTTGAGTGCCAGGTGTGCGGCTAGGACTTTGTCTCAGGGGCACTGGGGAGACACATGAGGGCTATGAGCAGGGGAGGGACGGGATCTGGGGCTGTGTGTGAGATGAACCAGAAGACTGGAGGCTGGGAGGCCAGGGAGGAGGCTGGGGTGAGGGTCGCTAAGGGCTGAGCCAAGGCTGTTGGCGGGGGGTGGGGTGGGGAATGGGCAAAGAGAGGGGGCAGGAGGGACAAGACTGGGGCCTGATGGGCTATGGTGAGTGAGGGGGTAGGAAGGGGTAAGTACTGGCCCCACAACAGGATGGACAAGTGATGGAAAAAAGGATGCTTCAATTCCCTCCTCTGATGAGGTCATGGGCCAGTAGGGGCAGAAATCTGGCCTCTTCCTGTCCCCCAACACGTCAGGCCAGATCCCACTTCTGGGTCTCTTACACAAGTGATTTCCAATAAATAATCATAACGATAACCATTGTAGCCTCTTCTTTTTTTTTTGGCCATGTTGCGTGGCTTATGGGATCTTAGTTACCCAACCAAGGGATTGAACCTGGGCCCACAGCAGTGAAAGCCCAGAGTCTGCCAGGGAACTCCCCATCGTAGCCTATTCTGAGCAGGGGGTTCTGGGTGCCCTCTGTATGTATTAACTCACTTATTCTTCCCAACCCCAGGTGCTATTATTGACCCCATTTTGCAGATGAGGAAATTGAGGCACAGAGGAGCTAAATGACTTGCCTGAAGGTCACACAGCCAGGAAGCGGTGGAGCTGGGATTTGAACCCAGCACCCACAGTGATGGCCTGTATGGTACACTCCCTCACTCTCAAACGACCGTCACTGATCATGACAGATGGAGGGTAGGAAGACAGCTCGCATCTGCTGGACATCCTCACCCACCTGAACAGGTAACTCGCCAGGCTTCTCTCCTCTCCATCCTAGGCTCTTCCCCTCGCTCCAGACGGGAGATCACGTCGGGTTTGGACTCAGGAAGCCCTGCCCCTGAAAAACATGTGAGACTTGGCCATGGGTGCCGCAGTCACAGGGAGGCCTCAGGGCTGGGCCCCAAGCCCTGGGTCTGCAGGGGAGATGCATACATTGGACACCTAATGATTAGAAGATCTGCAAGACTCGTTTATTGAGCGCCTACTACATTCCAGAGAGAGCCTGAGCCCTGACGTCACTGTTTAAGGCTCCAGCTCTGTGTTCAAGTTGAGTGAAAAATACACATAGCATTTCAAGGACTTGATATGGAGAAAAAAGGAAACAATCTCACTAATAATTCATAGATTGATTATGATGTCAACATGTGCCTAAATGATCATATTTTGGCTAGGCTGGGTGCAACAAAACAGATTACTAAAATTCATCTCATCTGTTTCTATTGACTTTTTCACGCCTGCTGTCTTTGAGATCACTAATTCCTCTCTTCCTGCAATGGGGGAATATTACGCCCCCAGGAACCTCAGCATGTGGCCTGATTTGGAAAGAGGGGCTTTGCAGATGTAAATGGTTAAGATGGGGTCCTACTGGATTCGGGTAGGCCCTAAATCCAATGACTGGTGTCCTTATAAGAAGAGGAGAGACACACAGACACATTTGGAGGGCAAAAGGCCAGGTGAAGATAGAGGCAAAGATTGGGGTGATGCAGGTACAGGGCAAAGAACGCCAAGAATGCCATGAGTCTTCAGACGCTGGAGAAATCCAGGAAGGACTCTCCCCGGGAGTCTTCAGAAGGAGCCCGGCCCTGCCTGCACCTTGGTTTTGCGCTCCTGGCCTCCTGAACTGTGAGAGAATACATTTCTGATATTGTGAGTCCCCAGGTTTGTGATAATTTGGTACAGCCGCCCTAGGAAACAAACATACTCCCTAATGATGATTCCTGTGAGCAAACATGCTGAAAAATCGCTCCCACCTTAAATGGAGAAGCAGGAGGAGGAAGAGAATGGAAGGGGGTAACACTGAGGAGGTGGGCAGGGGCCAGGTCACATAAGGGTATGAAGGAGTGGGTACAGGCCATGCCCAGGACTGGCCTGGTGACTGGATGGGCAGAAACTGTCCCTGAGATGCGGGAACCGGAGGAGGAGTGGGTCCAGGGGGATACGGGGAGCTCAGTGGGGACAGGGAGCATGGGATCTCCCCAGGGAGGTATTCTGCAGGCCACCAGCTGCACAGATTGAAGCTCAGGGGGCAGACTAAGGGGACCTCATCTGTATGTGCAGATTGTGCAGAAAAGGGTTTAACACAGCAGGCTGACTGCTCTCGTTGGCAAGGCCTGCTTGCAAGGTTGCCCTTGCTGGCATCTGGGAACCTGGGTTTCAGAAGGGTTCCAGAACTCTCTAACTGATAAGAGGGGCTCCCTGTGCCTGAACTGTTTGTTCAAAACAATGTGGTTTCTCTCCTGGGCATATATCCAGAGAAAACTCTAATTCAAAAAGATACACGCATACCCTACTATGTATAAAATAGATAACTAATGAGAACCTATTGTTTAGCACAGGGAACTCTACCCAGTGCTCTGTGGTGAACTAAATGGGAAGGAAATCTAAAAAAGAGTAGATGTATGTATACGTATAACTGATTCACTTCGCTGTACAGCAGAAATGAACACAACATTGTAAAGCAATTATATTCCAATAAAAATTTAAAAAAAAAAAAAAAAAAAGGCTTCCCTGGTGGCGCAGGGGTTGAGAGTCCGCCTGCCTATGCAGGGGACACGGGTTCATGCCCCGGTCCAGGAAGATCCCACATGCTGCGCAGCGGCTAGGCCCGTGAGCCATTGCCGCTGAGCCTGCGCGTCCGGAGCCTGTGCTCCGCAGAGGGAGAGGCCACAACAGTGAGAGGCCCATGTATCGCGCAAAAAAAAAAAAAAAACATGCACCCGTATGTGCATAGAAGCACTATTCACAATAGCCAAGATGTGGAAGCAACCTAAGGGTCCATCAATAGATGAATGGGTAAAGAAGATGTGGTACATATATACAATGGAATACTACTTGGCCATAAAAAAGAATGAAATAATGCCGTCTGCAGCAACGTGGATGGACCTAGAGTTTTTCATACTAAGCGAAGTAAGCCAGAAAGAGAAAGACAAATACCATATGATATCACTTATATGTGGAATCTAAAATATGACACAAATCAACATATCTACGAAACAGAAACAGACTCACAGACATTGAGAACAGACTTGTGGTTGCCAAGGGGGAGGGGTGGGGGAGGGATGGATTGGGAGCTTGGGATTAGCAGAGACGAACTATTATATATAGGATGGTTAAACAAGGTCCTACTGTATAGCAGAGGGAAATATATTCAATAATATATTTATATCCTGTGATAAACCATAATGGAAAAGAACATGAAAAAGAATATATATGTATGTATACCTGAGTTACTTTGCTGTACAGAAGAAATTAATACCACATTGTAAATCAACTACAATAAAATTTTTTTTAAAAAAGAAGAGGGCCGGGGCACAGGCTGAAGATTTTGTGGGACAGGCAGAGGACTTGGGGCTCTCGGGGATGCTGGGACTCTGGGAGAAGCCAGCAGAGAGACAGAGAGATGGACAGGGGCCGCCCAGGAGGGTCCGGTGAGAGGAGCAGAGAGGACCCCCGTGAATGCCCACAGTTAAGCAGTGGGTGGGCATGGAGGAGACGAGGGCTGAAGGGGGCATCCTGCCTCTTCCTGGGAGGGCAGGGGGCAGGGCCTCACCCAGCGAGAGAACGTTCTGGTAATTCTCCAGCATCACATCCCGATACAGCTCCCTCTGGCCAGGCCCCAGCTGGCCCCACTCCTCCAGGGTGAAGTCCACAGCCACGTCTTTGAAGGTCACCGATTCCTGCAAGGGCCAATTTTATATCATGGACAGGCACGTCTTTCCAGAACTCTGGGGTGGGACAGGTCATGGGTCAAGAGCCTACCACTTGTTCCCTGCGCTGGAACGTTCTGACTTGGCAGATTTGGGACGACTGAATTAAACCGGCCCATGGGAATGTAAAATGTCTAGGTAGGGCAGCCGTTAGCCCACAGGCACCTTGGTAGAAAGTAGAACAAGGCCCGCCGCATTCACATGACTCTTTACTGCCATCTGTTGGAAAATTGTTTTAATACACCAATTATTTCTAGCATGTGACAGTTGACTGCCATCTGCGTTTAAATTGCTGTAATCAATATACCGACGTAGGAGGTGGAAGATGCAAATCATGCCACTGAGATGAGGAACCCTTGTGCAGTATGTAACCTACACACCTGTACATGACAGCCCTGAGAAACACTTTTAAAAAACTACCGGACTTCCCTGGTGGTCCGGTGGTTAAGACTCCGCTTTTCCAGTGCAGGAGGGCACAGGTTCAATCCCTAGTTGGGGAATTTCTGCATGCTGCGCGGCGCGGCCAAAAAAAAACACAACAAACTACCAGTCATTGTATGTCGGAGCTACTCATAAGTCGCACTCCATCCCACACTCCAACTCTGATCCCAATCTCCACTCCTGATTCCAAGAATAAGGCTCAGGATGAAGCAAAACCATCCACTGTCCACTTCACTTGGTAACCAAAAGGCTGCTGAGCGTCAGATGATTGATTTTTAGACCGTGTCATAATGTTCTATCTCAGAGAATCCTGCCCCCAGACCCCACAACTCCCAGTCCCAGAGAAACTCCCATCACCGCATCTCTCCCAGTATTGGGAGGGGCAGATCTTGGCACAGGCAGAGACAGGGAAAGCCATCGGGTCCACAAAGTCATCTCCGGGAAGAGGGAGCCCAGACTAACCTGGCCCTTGTCCGTCAGGGTCCTGATGGCCATTGCTGGGTCCCAGGCATGCACCTCCAGAAGAAAGGACCAGGCCTAAGTCTGCAAATCTACAGGAGGGAGATGGAGCAGAGAGGGGGTCAGTTCTGGCCTAGACAGACAGACACTTTGCCAAAGATGCCCCATGACAGAGGGGCCCCTGGTCTCCTGAGAGCCAAAGCAAAGGCTCAGGGCAGGGTGCCTGAGGCCCCCGTTCTTTTGTTATATATATATAATTTTATTTTATTTTATTTATTTTTGGCTGCATTGGGTCTTTGTTGCTATGCGTGGGCTTTTCTCTAGTTGGAGCGAGCAGGGGCTACTCTTCGTTGCAGTGAGCGGGCTTCTCATTGCGGTGGCTTCTCTCATTGTGGAGCATGGGCTTTAGGTGCATGGGCTTCGATAGTTGAGGCACGCGGGCTCAGTAGTTGTGGCTCACAGGCTCAGCAGTTGTGGCGCGTGGGCTTAGTTGCTCTGCGGCACGTGGGATCTTCCCGGACCAGGGCTCGAACCCATGTCCCCTGCATTGGCAGGGGGATTCTTAACCACTGCACCAACAGGGAAGTCCCGAGGCCCCCATTCTGTAGTGATCACCACTAGTAATCAAGGGGTTCAGCTCACTGCACCCAAACAGCAGCTCTTGGAGAAGTAACTACAGTTATCCCCAGATGAGGAAATCCAAGCACACGAGGCCACGGCCATTGCTCAAGGTCATAGAGACGTCAAGTGTCAGAGTGAGATTCAAACCCAGAAGTCTGCCCCCAGAGCCAACCCCTCCTTTTTTTTCTTATAAATTTTATTTATTTTTAAAAATTTTAATTTTATTGGAGTAGAATTGATTTGCAATGTTGTGTCAGTTTCAGGTGTACAGCAAAGTGAATCAGTTACACATATACATATATTCATTCTTTTTTAGATGCTTTTCTCTTATAGGTCATTACAGAATATTGAGTAGAGTTCCCTGTACTATACAGTAGGTCCTTGTTGGTTATCTATCTTATAAACAGTAGTGTCTTATAATTTTTAAATTGTGGTAAAACACAGAAAATATACCATTTTAACCATTTGAATATATACAATTCAGTGGCATTTAATACAGTCACAACGGTGTGCAACCATCACTGCTATCTAGTTGCAGGACATTTTCATCATCGTCCTAAAGGGAAACCTTGTACTTAATCAGTTACCCCTGAATCTCCCTTCCCCCATGCCAGCCCCCCATCATAACCACTAACCTTTCTGTCTCAATGGATTTGCCTATTCTGGACATTTCATATCAATGGGACCATACCATATGTGACATTTTGTGTCTGGCTTCTTTCATTCAGCACAATGTTTTCAAGGATCATCCATGCTACAGCATGTAATCAGTGTCTCATTCCTTTTTATGGCTGAATAATATTCCATTGTGTGGATGGACCACATTTTGCAGAGCTCCTTCTATCTGTCCTAAAATCCAAGCAGTATCCAAGGATCCTGGACTCCTGCTTAAGATGTCATTTAAAGAAGGATTCCAGCTGTTGAGATGAAGTTGAAGAATCCTTTACAAAGAGAAGTCGGTGCTCAGACTGTGCTCACCCCCATTCATTCGTCAAACATGCTCTGTGCCCCATGTGAGTAACAGGCTCCATTTGGGGTTCTGAGGGCAGAGAGATGAGCGAGATGTGATCCTGCCCTCGAGGGACTTCCTGCCTGTGAGGGAGACAGGCCTGGACATAGACCAGGTGGTGGGCTGAATAATGGTCCCAAAAGATATCCCTGGGATGCACTACTGGGCATATACCCTGAGAAAACCATAATTCAAAAAGAGTCATGTACCAAAATGTTCATTGCAGCTCTATTTACAATAGCCTGGAGATGGAAACAACCTAAGTGTCCATCATCGGATGAATGGATAAAGAAGATGGGCACATACATACAATGGAATATTACGCAGCCATAAAAAGAAATGAAATTGAGCTATTTGTAATGAGGTGGATGGACTCAGAGTCTGTCATACAGAGTGAAGTAAGTCAGAAAGAGAAAGCCAAATACAATATGCTAACATATATATATGGAATTTAAGGGAAAAAAATGTCATGAAGAACCTAGGGGTAAGACAGGAATAAAGACACAGACCTACTAGAGAATGGACTTGAGGATATGGGGAGGGGGAAGGGTAAGCTGTGACAGAGTGAGAGAGTGGCATGGACATATATACACTACCAAATAGATAGCTAGTGGGAAGCAGCCGCATAGCACAGGGAGATCAGCTCGGTGCTTTGTGACCACCTAGAGGGGAGGGATAGGGAGGGTGGGAGGGAGGGAGAAGCAAGAGGGAAGAGATATGGGAACATATGTATATGTATAACTGATTCACTTTGTTATAAAGCAGAAACTAACACACCATTGTAAAGCAATTATACTCCAATAAAGATGTAAAAAAAAAAAAGATATTCCTGGGATGAACTTTTTAAAACAATTAATTAATTTTTAAATTTTTGGCTGCCTTTGGGTCTTCTTTGCTGCGCTCAGGCTTTCTCTAGTTGCGGTGAGTGGGGGCTACTCTTTGTTGCATGCGCGGGCTTCTCATTGTGGTGGCTTCTCTTGTGGAGCACGGGTTCTAAGCGTGCAGGCTCAGTAGTTGTGGCTCACAGGCTCTAGAGCACAGGCTCAGTAGTTGTGGCGCTGGGGCTTAGTTGCTCCGCGGCATGTGGGATCTTCCCAGACCAGGGCTTGAACCCATGGACCCTGAATTAGTGGGCGGATTCTTAACCACTGCGCCACTAGGGAAGGCCTGGGATGAACTTTTGATGTGATTAAGTTAAGCATCTTTTTTTTCCTTTTTGGGGGGGTGGTGAGTTCCTGAATGCAGCCAGCCTCTCCTGACTCAGAGCAGAGCGGGCTGTGTGCAGACCACACCCACTTGTAACATTTGTAACAAAGCCAGGCTGTGAGCTCAAAGCCCCAGCAAGTTCTTAGAAAAACCAAGTTAAATATGTGACCTTTCCACAGGCTGCCTGGAGGGATTGATATCTGTGGGCTCTGGAAAGCCCCATACACTGCAAGGTAGATAAAAAACACTAGTTTGAGTCTTTGGCCAGGACTGTAACCCCAGCCTGGAACACTGCCTCTCAAGTTAAGCATCTTGAGATGGGAAGATGATCCTGGATTATCTGGGTGGACTCTAAATGTAATGACAAGTGTCCTTATAAGAGGGAGGCAGAGGGAGATCTGACACGGAGGGGAAGCCCATGTGACAGAAGTAAAGAGGAGCAGAGTCAGAGAGACAAGGCACTATGCCTCTGGCTTTGAAGGTGAAGGAAGGGGCCACGAGCCAAGGGATGCAAGGAGCCTCTAGAAACTGCTAAAGGCCAGGAAATGGATTCTCCCCTAGAGCCTCTGAAGGAAGCACGGCTCTGCTGACACCTTGATTGCTGCCCAGTGAAAACCAGTTCAGACTTCTGGCCTCCAGCACTGTAAGAGAATACTACTCTGTATTGTTTTTTTTTTTTTTTTTTTTTTTTTTTTTTTTTTGCAGTACCCGGGCCTCTCACTGTTGTGGCCTCTCCCATTGCGGAGCACAGGCTCCGGACGCGCAGGCCCAGCGACCATGGCTCACGGGCCCAGCCGCACCGCGGCATGTGGGATCTTCCCGGACCGGGGCACGAACCCACGTCCCCTGCATTGGCAGGCGGACTCCCAACCACTGAGCCACCAGGGAAGCCCACTACTCTGTATTGTTTGAAGCCACTAAGTTTCTGGTAATTTGTTAGAGCAGAAATGGGAAACTAACACGGTCCGGAAATAAAGACTCAGAGCCTCACGTGCTTCCAGGCAAACAGGCTGCACGTACATCCAGCTACACAGGAACGCACCCACCTGAGGGCTGAAACCAGTGGGTGAAATTTTGATGAGGAACAGAGGCTTAACCACCTCCTCATGAGTCACTTACTACGGTAGGGCCCCCTTATCCGCGGCTTCAGTTTCCACGGTTTCAGTTACCTGAGGTCAACTGTGGTCCAAAAACACTGAATGGAAAGTTCCATAAAGAAACAATTCACAAT